ATACCAAGGTGTTATTGTATCAAACTTTATTGTGATCAATCTGAAATCGAACTCCATGTGTTTGGTGACGCATCCGAACAGGCTTATGGTACTTGTATTTACCTTTTGTGTAAACATGAGTCATCTATCCATTGTAACCTTTTGGCATCAAAGACACGTGTAGCGCCATTATCTAAGCAAACAATGCCGAGATTGGAACTCTTAGCATGCTTAATATCTGCACGGCTTGACGTTAGTGTTGTGAACGCTTTAAATCATTTGACAATCAACCAAGTATATTATTGGTCCGATTCTGAGGTTGCTTTAAGCTGGATCAGAAATACCAATAAGGAATACAAGCAATTCGTATAGAATCAGGTTACAGAAATCAGGCGAATTTTGCCAATAGAGAATTGGAATTATTGTCCAACGTCAGAAAATCCTGCGGACATCTCGTCACGAGGAAGTACAACAACCGAACTAACTGATAATCAAAAATGGTGGAATGGTCTTCATTTTTTGTGTCTATCTAAAGAGGAATGGCCTCATCAATCAACTGAATCTTGTGATCTAAATGATATCGAACTTACAAATAATAAGTGTAGACTCTTGTGTTACCTCTTCTAAGAACAATCAACCAAACCTGAACCAAAGTTCAGTCGGTTATCAACTCTTTTGAGAGTGTCGGCATATGTATTGAGGTTTATACATAATGTGAAATGTCATGTCAATCAATCTAATCTTAATCAAGGAGAACTCAGTTTCGAAGAACTGAAATCGGCTGAAAATCTGTGGATCAGAACTGTTCAATCAAACATCAAACGGGATGATAAATTCAATCAACAATCTGTCTCACGCAATCTAAAGAAAGACAACAACGGTATTCTTCGTGGTTATGGAAGAATTGAACATTCAAATCTAGATTATGATGCGAAATATCCAGCATTCCTACCAGAAAATCATTATCTTACGTCATTGATCACCTGGAAATGTGATGAAGATGTCATGCATAATGGTGTACAAGAAACTCTATCTCAATTCAGAACCAAGTATTGGGTAGTTCATGGTCGGCAAATTATTAAAAGTGTCATATCAAAATGTGTGATCTGTAGGAAATTAGAAGCTAAAGCATATGGAACTCCTATCGCACCTCCTTTACCATTGTTTCGATTAAGTGATCACTTTGCTTTTTCTCACATTGGAGTAGACTATGCAGGTCCTTTATTCGTGAAAGACATATATTCAAAATCCGATGACATGCATAAGGTTTATATCGCTCTCTATACGTGTGCTAGTAGTCGTGCATTGCATCTAGATCTGGTTCCTGATGCTAGCTCAACCACATTTATCCGTAGTTTCAAGAGATTCATAGGACGTTGAGGTATTCCTACTTCAGTAATATCAGACAATGGGAAAACGTTTAAAGGTTTCTACTATCAAAAGGAGTCAAGTGGAGATATAACGTGGAATGCTCGCCATGGTGGGGAGGATTCTTTGAACGCATGGTCCGGTCAGTCAAAAGGTGTTTGAAGAAATCATTAGGGACGTCGCGCTTAACGTATGAAGAGCTACTAACTCTGATTATTCAAATTGAAGGTGTTCTAAACTCGAGACCTTTGACATACCTGTGTGATGATGGTGGTGAACCATTAACTCCATCGCAACTTGTGATCGGAAGGAGATTGTTATCAGAACCTACTACTACTGTAAAGCCAGAAGTTATCAATCAAGATTCGTATGCTCGCAGTAAATATTTGAAAACTGTATTAGATCATTTCTGGAATAGGTGGAGACGCGAGTATGTAACTGAATTACGTGAACATCATAAATTCAATCAAACAAGAGGACAATCAGTACACGTTGGTGATGTTGTAATCGTATACGAGGATAAAGTACCGAGACATAATTGGCACATTTAGCTAGATTTTGTTTTTTTGGGGGGAGAGACGTCTGGAGAGGTCCCCCCCACCACCGACCCCCCCACCACCGAAATAGTCTGGCGGTGGTCATTCATAATACATGTGAATATGCTGAACATTATGCAACAAATTTGATGCGGTTAGTCAATGAGCTAGTCTAGCTTTGATATTTGGGGGGGGGGGGCAATTAGGATGTGTGGCGGGGGTATCCCACCACCAAAAATATCTGACGGTGGTCATTCTTGATACATGTAGATATGCTGTTCAACATTTTGCAACAAATTTCATGCGGTTAGTATATGAGCTAGTCTAGCTTAGCTTTTGGGGTGGGGCAATAAGGGGCATCTGGCAGGGGTAAAACCACCATTGAAAATGTCTGCCATCGGTGATTATCGATACATGTGAATATGCTGAACAGTTTGCAACAAGTTTCATGTGGTTAGTAAATGAGCTAGTCTAGTTTAGATTTTGGGGTGGGGCAATTGGGGACGTCTGGCGGGGGTACCCCACCACTGAAAATGTCTGGCATCAGTGATTCTTGATACATGTGGATATACTAAACATTTTGCAAAAAGTTTTATGCGGTTAGTATATGATTATGAGCTAGTCTAGCTTAGCTTATGGGATGGGGCAATTTGGGACGTCTGGCGGGAGTACCCCACCACTGAAAATGTCTGGCATCGGTGATTCGTGATACATGTGGATATGCTGAACATTTTGCAACAAGTTTTATGCGGTTAGTAAACAAGCTAGTGTAGCTTAGCTTTTGGGGTGGGGAAATTAGGGGGGTCTGGCGGGGGTACTCCACCACTGAAAATGTCTGGGATCAGTGATTCTCGATACATGTGGATATGCTGTACATTTTGCAACAAGTTTCATGTGGTTAGTAAATGAGCTAGTCTAGCTTAGTTTGTGGCTACCTGTTTTTTTTAATATGGCGGACACACCCCACGGCCTAAAATGTCTGGCAGTGGGAATTCTCAATACATTTTGATTTGGTTAACATTTTGCAACAAGTTTTATGTGGTTAATAAAGGAGCTAGTCTAGCTTAGTTTTTGAATCCAATTCTTTTGCCCCTCTTGGCCACACCCACCACAATGGGCACGGCAGACGTTCATATCCTTTGATGTGACCCATAGGGAACCTAATGACACATATAGAAATTGGTTAGCTTTTCAGCTAGGTTGAACCCCCCGGGCTCCTGCTCTATAAATCGCCGGAGCGATCGACAAGGGCTGTCGCATATTTATTCTTTTGTAGGTAATTTGGGGCTTTTAAAAGACAATTTTATACAGATGAGATTATAATTTTTGTCGTTTGAGGGTTCACAAGGTTCTAAAAACTGAAACAAGGGTCTTAACTCTGGAAGTAATTTACAGAAATTGTTGAAATTTGACAGGATTTTTCATTTTACTAATTTAAATAATGCATATGAATTTCATACAGATCGGATGACAACTTTTGTCATTCGAATGTTCACAAGGTTCACAAAGTAAAACAAGGTCCATAACTCTAGAAATAATTGACAGAAATTGCTGAAATTTTACAGACATCTGTTTCACAAATTTAAATGATACATATAAGTTTCATACATATCGGATGACAACTTCCATCAATCAAGCATTAACAAGGTTGAACAAAAGTGAAACACAGGCCATAACTCTAGAAGTAATTATTGTAAATTGGTGAAATTCAATAACCTTCTTTTTTTCACTAATTTAAATAATGCATATAAATTTAACAAAGATTGGATGATAACTTTAGATGTTAGAGCATTCACAAGGTGCAACAAAGTGAAACAAGGGCCATAACTCTAGAAGTAATAAACGTGAATTGCTGAAATTCAAGAGAATTCTTCTTTTTACTAATTAAAATGACGCATATAAATTTCATACAGATCAGATGAGATGATAACTTTAGATGTTAGAGCATTCACAAGGTGCCACCAAGTGAAACAAGGGCCATAACACTAGAAGCAATAAACAGAAATTGCTGAAATTCAATAGGATTCTTCTTTTTACTAATTTAAATGACGCATATAAATTTCACACAGATTGGCAGATAACTATTTATGTTAGAGTGTTCACAAGGTGCAACAAAGTGAAACAAGGGCCATAACTCTAGAAGTAATTAACAGAAATTATTGAAATTAGATAGGCTTCTTCAACTCACTAATGTAAATAACTTATTATATCAATTTTAAAACAATCGGATGATAACTTTTGGCGTTAGAGCGTTAACAAGAAATTGTGGACGACAGACGGACCGACGGACAGGGGCAACGGCAAGATACGTCCACATTTCCATGTGGGCGTATAAAAATGCATTTTTTTTAACAATCTGGGGCCATAAGCCAGGAAGTTACATTCCAGTATGCACGAAATATCAAAAGGATCTGAGATCTTTAGGATATAAACAAGGAGCAGCTATTTTGTCAGGCAGTTCTGCTCCGATTTTCACGGAATTTGAACTCAACCATCATTATGGTGTAATGGTGATATAATTCAAGCATTGTTTTAAATCAGATAAAAATTGTGACTTCTAGAAGGTCCACAAGCTAAAAATGTGATTTTGCGCACAAACAATCAGGATCCATAATCCACAAAGTTACAGTCTAATACATGCTAATATCAAAAGGAGACAGAGAGAGAAATGGGGTTTAACGTCTATTTGACACAAACTAGGTCATTTCGGGACTAACATATGCACGTAGGGGTCTTTAGCAGTGGGAGGAAACCAGAGGACCTGGAGAAAACCCATGAGATTGGACAGGCGATCCTACTCCTTGTCATGTACAATCGGGGAATCGAAACCACGCCAGTTGACTCAATCAAATACCATATGATACAATGCAATGCGCACATGGTATCCATTTGGCCATCCAACCCCCCTTAACATGAAAAGGAAGAGATCTTTGGGATATCAACCTATATTTCAAGTTTCGTCGAAATCGGATAAAATTTGTGATAATGATACATGTACAAGTTTTGAGCATCATATGTACAAGTTTTGAACATAGTACCATATGCAGTAAATAGAACAAGATGTTAGTCCATTATAATATTATAATTCTTAGAGTAGTAGTTATTATATGGACATACCTGTAGCTACCATATGATGAACTAAAGTGAAATTATCATTTGCTCCTAATAAAGTACATGGAAATATAACGCTATGAAATGGTACATTGTCTTTTCCCAAAAAATTATACAACTCCACCTAAGAAGACAAACACATAAAACCAATTAAAATCCTGCATAATTATTAATACCACAATTATAGTTTTGCTTTTTCATGTAATTTTGTGCTATTTAAATGGCACTTAATTTTATATCATATCTTGCTAGTCCGACATCTTGATAAACTTTAAAGAATTTTATGAAAGAATAATTGAAAATATTAGACTAATGACTCACGTCATTTTAACAAAAATCTATACTTGCATTTTGTGGATTTTTCCACCATTGTTGCCAGTCTTGAGTATAATTAGCTGTTATAGAAATGTAACCAATTGGGGCATCAAACCAGACATAGAACACCTGAAAATCAGATACATGTATTGTTACATGTAGATACATAATCAACGATGTCGACCTATGTGAAATGGAAAACGTCCAACTGGGAATATGCCCAATCTGACATCAAGATCAAGACATACATGGTGAATGATACTCAAAATTATCTCCAAAATTGAGTGTACTGAGGGTATAACTATTACCAATCTTGATTACTGTTGATAATAGGCAGTCCTTCATGTTTATAAAATTGTGCGGGAGCCATAAACAGCTCCTATCAATGTCAAAGATAGGTAGCCAGGCAACGAAACATACACACACAGCAGCTAAATCGTCCGGGCAGTCAACATGAGTTGTCACATATTTTTACTTTTTTCGGTAATGAAACATTTATAATACACTAAAATAATTAAGTAATTATCAGATAATCATTAGAATTTGTTTGGTTTTTATAAAGTTCTGCCCCATGCTAACGTTTAGTATACGATACATTTAATATCATGGATTTAGCTGTTCAAGTTATCAAAATTCATTGAAAATCAACATACTTGTTCGTCTCAAGACCTTAAACTCTGTGTATCAATTTGAAGTTAATCGGATGATAACTTTAGCCTCTAGAGCGTCATAAGATTTGTCAAAGTGATCAAGGGCCATAACTTAGGCAGTAATTATTTGAAATTGTTGAAAATCAATAGGCTTCTTCGTCTCATGACCTTAAACACTGTGTATAAATTTGAAGTCAATCGGATATTAACGAGATATTTTGAAGGGATCAAGGGACATAACTCTGGCAGTAATTATCGGAAATCGCTGAAAATCAATAGGCTTCTTCATCTCATGACCTTAAACACTGTGTCTAAATTTAACGTCAATCGGATATTAAAATTAGCCTCTAGAGGGCCCACAAGCAATTGTGTTCGTATAAAAAGGTGTTTTTCGTACAATCAGGGGCCATAATTCAAAAAGTTACGGTCCAATATGCGTGAATATCGAAAGGAACCAAGATATTTGGGTTATAAACTTACATTTTAAATTTCAACTAAATTAGATAAAAATTGTGACCTCTATAGGGTCCACAAGCTAAAAACTTGATTTTTCGTACAATCAGGGGCCATAATCCATGAAGTTTCGATCCGATACATGCCAATATCGAAAGCAATCGAAATCTTTTGGAGATAAACCTATATTTCAAGTTTTCGTCAAAATCGGATAAGAATTGTGACCTGTAGAGTGTCCACAAATAATTGTGGACGGACGTCCAGACGTCCGGGGGCAACGACAATATCCGTCCACATGAAAATGTGGGCGCATAAAAACTGGCTCATTAACCACAGCACTTAAGTATTTTATCTTGATTACAGAATGTGAATCTATAAAAAAAATTCCATAGGCTCATTTATCAAGTACACTACCCTGATAAATGTTAATAATAATTATAATAGTCCGATCGTTAATTTAAATCCGTCGACTTTTCGGGTAGAAATCGTGGAATATTTTGTAGGTTTTGATGTTTGATTACAAAAAACCAATGTTGACATTTTTTTTGAGTAGGTCTTCACAGTATGGGAGGTCATTATTTGAGGGTAGCCATTTTGCGATAATATTCCAAATTATTTTTTATTTTCACCTTATTTATAATGTTATCGACATATTAACTGTGATTTGGCAATGCATTAATATTGGCGGCATTCATGACTATATCTCAGATTGTTTTCCATCGTTTCATGATCATATTTCCAAGATGGCGCCCATTTTTAGCGGGAAAATCGGTCGATGTGCTGATTTCGATTAAGTAGTACTGTTTGGTGTCAATATATATGTTTTCGGGGTCACAAATTCCATTCCTGACATTTACAACCTTGTAAAATGATCACATGTTCATATACTTAGCATATAACCAAGATGGCGGGCATTTTTGGCGGGAAAATGAGACGATGTGCAGATTTTGATTAAGTGGTAGTGTTTGGTGTCAATATATATGTTTACGGGGGCGCAGAATCAATTTCTGACATTTACAACCTTGTAAAATGATCACATGTTCACATATTTAATATATTTCCAATATTGCTGCCACTTGTGGCGGGAAAATCGGACGATGGGTTGATTTCGATTAAGTAGTTGTCTTTGGTGACAATATATATGTTTTCGGGGAGGCAGATTTGATTTCTGTCATATACAACTACGTAAAATGGTCGTATGTTCACCAATTTAGCATATTTCCAAGATGGTGGAACGTTTTCTAAACACATTATTAGCATTTATTTATCATCGATTTTCCTGGGAAAGTAAAGCCTATTCCTGGCATGAAGGCAAAAAGAGCATAGCGGCAGCGTGGTGCTTACGCCACGTGCCCATCATGCGCCTGCAATAACCACACCAAGCGCTTACTACAACGTCTTTCTACGCTCATTGCCAAGATCTGGCTGCGCGAAAAGTGTTCCCACCATGATCTCACGGTTACCAGTCAGACCGGGATACTTTTTCACCACACTCCAGTGACATGCCTACCAGGAGTAAGGCGTTCTCTCGTCACGCCTATAGAGACTGTGCCATGCTCACCCGTCCTCATTCACTTTCAAAGCAGAAAACAACCAATAGTCAAGCAATCAAGAACATTTCATAGTTTTCTTGAGGTTTCCTCTTTGGGTGCTAGACTGGAGCTGATGGACGAGGCTCAGTATCTTCCCTATATATACATAAAGGTCGTAACAGCGCCCCCGAAAAACAAATATTGACACAAAAACGCGACTACGTAATCAAAATCAGCACATCGTCCCATTTTCCCGCCCGACATGAAAGCCATATTGGAAATATGCTAAATATGTGAACATGTGATAATTTTACACAGTTGTAAACGGCAAAAATGGAATCTCCTCCCCCAAAAATATATCTTGGTGCCATAGACGACTACTTATTCAATATCCGCACATCGTTCCATCTTCCCGTCAAAAATGGCCGTCATATTGTAAATGTGCAAAATAATCATTTTACACAGTTGTTACTGACTGAACTGGATTCATTGCCCTTGATAACATAAATATTGACACCAACGACGCCTTTTAATCAATATCAGCACATCGTCCTATTTTCCAGCCAAAAAATGACCGCCATCTTGGAAATATGCTAAGTATATGAACATGTGATCATTTTACAAGGTTGTAAATGTCAGGAATGGAATCTGTGGCCCCGAAAACATATATTTTGACACCAAGCACTACTACTTAATCGAAATCAGTACATCGTCCGATTTTCCCGCCAAAAATAGTCGCCATCTTGGAAATATCATACTGAAATGATGGAAAACAATCTGAAGTATAGTCATGAACCGTGCTAATATTAATACATTGCCAAATCACAGTTGATACGTCGATAACATTATAAATAAGGTGAAAATAATCAAATAAGTTGGAATATTATCGCAAAATGGCTACCCTCAAATAATGGCGTCCCATACTATGAAGACCTACTCAGAAAAATTGTCAACATTGGTTTTTTGTAATCAAACATTAAAACCTACAAAATAAAGCTTATTCCATGATTTCTACCCGAAAAGTCGACGGATGGGAATTATGTAACAAACCGAATCCGACTATAAATGACACTGGGTAATCATACATCCCTATGAACAACAATTTAATGTTTATATTAGTCATTTAGCCAAGTTGCGATTCTTTGACAAAATATACTCAAAGCCATTAAAGATAGGTTGCCAGGCAACAAAACACACGCCCACAGCATCTAAATCGTCAGAGCAGTCGACAAGGGTTGTCACATATTTATTCTTTTGTAGGTAATTAGGGGAATTTAATAGACAATTTCATACAGATGACATTATAATTTTCCTTGTTTGAAGGTTCACAAGGTTCTAAAAACTAAAACAAGGGCTGTAACTGTGGAAGCAATCTACAGAAATTGTTCAAATTCGACAGGCTTTTTTGTTTTACTAATTCAAATAATGCATATAAATTTCAAAAGTTCACCAAAGTAAATCAATGGCCATAACTCTAGATGTAATTGACGGAAATTGCTGACATTCAATAGGCTTGTTCGTCTTCATTTCACTAATTTAGGTGATAACTGGAACTCAATAGGCTTGTTCGTTTTACTAATTTAAATGATACATATAAATTTCATACAGATCGGATAATAAATTTTTGTTGTTAGAGCATTTACAAGGTACAACAAAGTGAAACAAGGGCTATAACTCACAGCATAATTAACGGAAATTGCTGAAATTCAATAGGCTTCTTCGTTTCACTAATTTAAATGATGCATATCAATTTCAAACTACGGAGCCCCTTAAGTGCACGATTCCAAGCTTATATAATTTTTTCGTGCATGATTCCACTCTTATATAATTATTTCGTTTAAACGAAATACTAATTCGTTATAACGAAATACTAATTCATTATAACGAAAAACTAATTCGTTATAACGAAATACTAATTCGTTATAACGAAATATTAATTCGTTTAAACAAAATAATTAATTTGATTAAACGAAATATTAATTCGATAAAACGAAATATTAATTCGATAAAACGAAATATTATTTTGTTATAACGAATTAATTATTTCGTTATAACGAATTAATTATTTCGTTATAACGAATTAATTATTTTGTTATAACGAATTAATCAATTTGATTAATCGAATTAATCAATTTGATTAATCGAACTAATCCGCTTACGATTTAACACGTCGACTAATTACCCCAATGATCCAAACACCGAATTTGAAGAAAAAAATATGTTAAAAAAAGCAATCGTGGTCTATATGGTTATCGATATGCGGTCGGGCTTGAGGCGGTAACCCTGGAACTGTGACACAAGCTGGGTTATTTTGGGATTAACACATGGTTCAATTTTATTTCAATAATTCGTTTGCGCGTAGGGATATTTAGCAGTGGGAGGAAACAGGTGGAACCGGAGAGAACCCACGAGGTTGGACAAACGACCCTGCTCCTTGTCACGTATAAGCCATCAATTGAAACAACGCCACTTGATTCAGTGACAGACCTCGTGT